AGGAAGGAAGGAAGGAAGGAAGGAAGGAAGGAAGGAAGGAAGGAAGGAAGGGAGGGAGGGAGGGAGGGAGGGAGGGAAGGTAAGGAAAGGTGGGATAAGCGACAGGAAAGGGGGAAGGGAATGGAAAGACTGGGAAAAGAAGAAAAAGAAAAAAATGTTGCTATACTTTGGAAGTATCCCCCAAAAGCCCATGTGTGAAGAAGTCCCCAACCTGTGGCACTATTGGAAGGTGGTAGAACCCTTAGGAGGTGTAGCCTGAAGGAAGGAAGTTAGATCACTGGGGGGATGCCCTTAAAAAGGATACTGGTACCCCAGCCCCTTCCTCTCTTTCTGATTCTTGACCACTACCAGGTAAGCAATTCCACTGTAGTGTACTATGCTGCCGCAGGCCCAAAGCAATGCGGCCAAGTGAATGGACTGAAACCTTTGACACGGTAAGCCAAAATGAGCCTCTATTATCTCAGGTTTCTTCTTCTACAGTAACAGAATGCTGACTGACACATATATTCATGCTAAATCTTATTATGGTAACTTTTATGAGGTTAACAGTATTCTTTTTAGTTTTTATCATGAGAGGATTTTGAAATTTATCAAATGTTTTTCTGCATTTATTGAATTAATCATATAAATTTTGTTCTCTAATCTGTTAATGCGGTACATTCCATTGATTAATTTCTAATATTAAATGTTTCAGGCTTTTTCTCTCTGCGTATATGAACTTTAATTTCTCTTATTTTCTATCTCTTTGTCTGAGTTTTATTATTGATATTTTTTCTGTAAGCTATCTTCCATTTCATGAATACTTTCTTTAGCTGTGTATAGTAGATAGTTAAAATTATACAGAGGATTTGTTATTCACTTGTTTTGTATTTCTAGATATCCTGGGTATTCTTCAATTTTATGTCATTTTTAATACAACTTCCAGTTTTTAATTGATATTTTCAAGTTTATCTTTTATTTCTTTAAAGATGCTCAATATATGTTTTATTATTTGTGCATGATAATTCCAGTAAAGTCTTTGTATAGAAGTTCATTTCTGATAGCTATTGCTTCTGCTGATTCTTACTCATAGTACCTTTAATTACGTGTTCTGGTTTACACTAAACTATTTATATACCACGAAAAATAGTTCCTAAGAATCCTCTCAGGCTGAGGACTTATAAGCAAAGAGTCTCAAATTTGATTTTGCTCTACTAAGTTAATACGTTAACCTTTTGCTATTTAATGGAGCTGACAGAAAACCTCTGGGTCAGAGAAAAAAAGGACTTTATTGCTTACAACATCACAGAAAGCAATCAAGCATTTGCATGTTCCTAACAGTTCCCCTGACCTATAAGCCATGCAGAGGTGACACCCACACCTCTCACACATGTATTAGGTTGCAATAAAGAGGAACACTGGATTTGAGGAATTCACTGCTTTTACAGCAAGCAGTTAGCAGCCTAGTCTTTATGACAGAGATAACATAATCTCATATTTTAAGGTTATCGACTGCATGAACAACTCTAAGAATTGATTGTGCAAAAGAGTGGTCATAGACTTGCAGTCTTGGTATACCCAGCAAGATATAGAAGTGGAGAAGCCAGAGGGGGGCTGTCCCTGCTGGGAGCCATTAGCCAAGTAGGTATGACAATTTCCTTGCCAGCGTACCCCATGTTGCTTAGTGAAAGGACTCAAATAGGACATTTTGCAGTGACATTGCATGTAGGTGACCTTGCTCAAGGACCAGGGTGGATCGGGTTTAGGGTGTTCCCGGTTTATAATCCGGGTTTCCCGGTTTAGGTTCCAGGTTTAAGGTTTAAGGTTATTCCTGCTGGGAATAGGGCGTATCCTGCTGCCTGAGTTCCCCTTGAGTTCTCACCGGATTCAGACAGTATTTTTTGGGAGACAGAAGCCCAGTGGGGGTGGATTTGGGCAGAGAACGTGGATTTCCCCAGAACGTGATTGTAGATGGCTGGTGTGAGTTCGGGAATAAAGAGTTGCTGTTTGAATCTACAAGCTGTGTGGTGGCTCGTGATTTTGTGCCCAGCCAGACTGCGGCATGTCCCTCTCAAGAAGTTTTCCTGGGAGTACATTAATTTCCTTCTTCCATAGGTCTTAAGACACTGCCAATCTGGGACCACATTAAATGATTTTTTTAGTTTGAAGGTTTTTTTGGAGTTCCCAAGTGATGTTAATTTGAGCTACACAAACAAATGGGAACTGACTTGTGGTTACAACTTCTCAAGGACTTTTAAAATATAAAGCCCTGCATCTAGCAAAGTTAACTGGTGCACAGTAGGCACTCAACATGTTTCTATAACTATCCTAAGTTTAAATATGAAGGAACTCAATTTTCTTTCAGTTAACATATTTCTTTTTTTTTTTATTTAGTTGTAGATGGACACAATACCTTTATTTTATTTATTTATTTTTATGTGGTGCTGAGGATTGAATCAGGACTTTACCTGTGCTAGGCAAGTGCTCTAACACTGAGCCACAACCCCAGCCCTGAGTTCTTTTTTAAACAGTTTGTTATATCTCACTTTTTATTAAAGAATTATGTTTATACATAGTAGTTGGGTTCATTTTGACAGAATCAAACATGCAAAGAACCCTCATTTCCCCCACCACCCACTTTTCCTCCCCTCCTTTACTGATCTTCCTTTTGCTCCTTTATTTATTTTTTGATTGATACTTTCTACATATATGTAAAGGTGAAATTCCCTTTGGTACATTTGTATATGCATATAACATGATTTTGTTAATCTCATTCCATGTTTCTTCCTGTGGAGAGCCACTCTGAATGACCATGCCTTCCAGTCCTGAAGCCCAAGGCTCTGACCAACCACGACATTCATGGTGACTTGGGCATTGTCCCAGCTCAGATAGCAAGGTGGGTCTTCACGTATAGGTGTACCTGCTGGGGTTGAGTTACACTCACCTGGTCCCTTGTAATCTTACCCCTTCTGCCCTTTTATGGATAGAACTTTCTAAGTAAGAACAGTGTGTCACACGCCCCCAGCAACCCCCAGCACCCCCGAAAAAAGGCTCACTTCCAAACATACTCTCTCTCTCATCAGCCTCTCATGACTTTCTCTTGCCCTCCCTTTGGGGGAGCCTGAGGCTGAGAGTGGGGGGAAGCTGTCCTGAAGCTTGTGTAAAGGTAAATTGTGTCTGTTTTATTTGTGTCACCACAATTTCACGCGAGCGATCTTAGTTCAGGGGGTCAGATTGGCATCTTCCCATTTCCGTTCCTTCCTCTCTCCCTCCCATTCTCCTTTTTCTATCACTTCTTCTACTTCCAAATGTATTTGTGTATACAATCCTCCCCCACTGCCTTCTTTTCCTTATTTTGCTTTAGCTTCCACACAGAGAGAAAACATTTGACCCTTAATTTTCTGAGCCTGCCTTATTTCACTTAGCGTGGTATTCTCCGTTTCCATCCATTAGCTGACAAATGCCATTATTTCATTCTTCTTTTATGACTGAGTAAAACTCCAATATGTTTATGTGCCACATTTTCTTGGTCCGTTCATCTACTGATGGGCACCTGAGTTGATTCTATAATTTGGCTATTGTGAATTGTGCTGCTATAAATATTGACATGGCTGCATCACTGAAGGTGCTGATTTTTGATCTTTTGGACATACATCAAGGGGTGGGAGAGCTGGGTCTTATGGTGGTTTAATTCCTAGTTTTATGAGGAATCTCCACACTGCTTTCCAGAGTGGTTGTACTAATTTGCAGTCCTACCAACAATGTATCTATGTACCTTTTTCTCCACATCCTCTTCAGAATTTATTATTATTAGTGTTCTTGATAACTGCCATTCTGACTGGAGTAAGATGAAATATTAGTGTACTTTTGATTTGCATTTCCCTGATTGCTAAAAGACGCTGAGCATTTTTTCATATATTTGTTGGCCATTTGTGTTTCTTCTTTTGAGAAATTCATTTGTTTCTTTCATCCATTTATTTGGGTTATTTGGGTTTTTGGCATTGAGTTTTTTGAGTTCTTTATATATTCTGGATATTAATCCTCTATCAGAGGAGTAGCTGGTAAAAAGTTTTTACCCATTCTGGAGGCTCTCTTTACATTTTTTTTTATTTTAATATTTTTATTACTTGTTGATAATTTTTTAAATTTGATTTATTTGGTATGTGGTGCTGAGAATCGAATCCAGTGACTCACACATGCTCGGCAAGCACTCTACCACTAAGCCACAATCCCAGCCCACTCTTCACATTCTTAATTGTTTCCTTTTCTAAGCAGAAGCTTTTAATTTCATGGCATACCACTTATTTTTGGTTTCATTTCTTGAACTTTAGGGATCTTGTTAGGAAAGTTGATTTGTGTGTCTCTATAATGGAGTATTGACCCTATGTTTTCTTCTAGCAGTTGCAAGGTTTCTGGTCTAATTCCTAAGTCTTTTTTTTAATATCTATTTTTTAGTTTTTGGGGGACACAACATCTTTATTTTTATGTGATGCTTAGGATGGAACCCAGCGCCCCACACATGCCGGGCGAGCGCGCTACCGCTTGAGCCACATCCCCAGCCCCCCTAAGTCTTTGATTCATTTTGATTTGAATTTTGTGCAGGATCTAATTTCATTCTTATACACATCATAGGGATATCCAGTTTTCCCAGCACCATTTGTTAAAAAGGCTATCTTTTCTCCAACATGTATTTTTGTCACCTTTGTCAAGTATCAGATGGCTCTAAGTGTGTGGGTTCAACTCTGCTCCATTGAACTTCTTGTCTATTTTGATGTCAATACCATGCTGTTTTTTCTACAGTAGAATACTGTAGTATTCTTCAGGTTCAGATATGTGATGTCTTCAAAATCACTCTTTTTGCTCAGAATTGCATTGGTTATTCTAGGTCTCTTTTTCTTCTAAATAAAATTAAGGACTATATGTCCCACTTTTGTCATATAGTAAATGTACATTTATTTAGTACACTTAATACATGTGTCTGAAATATTTTTTAGTCTCACGTGTTAGGCATTGAACATATTTCAACAGAAAAACCCCAAGAAATTATTTGTACAGTAGCCTACAAAATGAAAACAGTAATGCATAACACCTACGAGCATTCTATAAGATGCACGGCTCTGATCACAACAAAGCCTACAATTTTTCTCTGGACATGTTTATTAAACTGGTATACCCCAAAGGCAAGAATTTCTGACCTAAGCTATTGTCTTTTGGTCCCCAGTGCCTAGCACATGTCTATAAAATTCACAACTGTAGAGACCATATAGATTAATCTCAGTAATTTAGATACTTGAAGTATGGTCCATGTGTATACAGAGATGAACTTTGCTTTAAGATTTATATGTTTATTTTAATGAGAATGTTTTTAAAATATGGTCATATGGTTTGCCTGATGATGTCTCCTCCAAAATTCATGGAGGAGAATCCCCAATGTAACAGTAATCAGAGGTATGGCCTTTGGGAGGTGAGTAAGTCATGAGGGATCTCCTCTCATTGATGGAATTAGCATCCTTATTAAAGGGCTCAAAATTGAATGGAGCTCTCTCTTGTCTTTCCATCGCTTCTGCCATATAAGGACACTGCATTTGTCTCCTCTGGAAAGCACAGCAACAAGATATCTTGGAAGAAGAGAACAGCACTCACCAGATACCACTCTTCCTGATACCTTAATCTGGGACTCCTTAGCATCTAGAACTTCGAGAGATCAATTTCTATTTTTTTTAAATATTTTTTAAAAATATTTATTTTTTAGTTGTAGTTGAACACAATACCTTTATTTTATTTATTTATTTTCATGTGGTGCTGAGGATCAAACTCAGGGCCCCACACATGCTAGGCAAGCGCTCTACCACTGAGCCAAAACCCCAGCCCAATAAATTTCTATTTTTTATAAATTACCTAGTCTATAGTATTTTGTTATAGCAGCATAAAGAGACTAAGATAAGATAATATATCATATCTTCAGTTTTGTAGATATTATTTGGACCAGGCTACTCTTCTTTAAAAACAAGTCTATTTAAAGAAATTAATTCAAAATAACAACTGGTGTCTATTAAGTAATTATATGTTCCAGGAAACTTTCTTCTATATCAATTTTGCAATAACCCTTTAAGGTGAGTGATTTTCTTTTCATCACAAGCTTATACATACACTAAGATTCTGAAACACAGATGAGTAAGGCAATTTTTCTAGGGCCACAGTTAATAAGCAGTAGAACCATGATATATACTATCTACAGAACCCTTAATACTATATTATTCTGTATCCCTAAATACATAATAATCAGTAAATAATGGATCAGTAAAGTATTTAGACAGAAAGTATGAAAATGACTGAAGTGTTGAACATAATAATTTCCAGTCCCCTAAAAAAATCACAGAAAAAATAAACCCCACACTGATGCAAAAATCTTAAGTATTTCCATTTACCTGTCAGAAAGGTAGGCAAAAATGATTGCTCCCAGCAGGACTCCAAGCATAATGAAGGGCTGGATCATATCCGCATACCATTTCTGGTCACAGACCAGATCCCACATGGTCACCGCAGTGTTTTCCCACTTGCTCCGGTCATAAACGTAGCCATCAGAGCAAGAAATGTTATGCTCATAGCCATCGTATTCATAGTCCAAATGCGACATGTTCTCCCTCCAGATCCTGCTACATCTTGTGAGCTCCCAGATCTCACCATCCTGCAGCTCCACTGAAATGTGATCTTTCTGCCCTGGGGACAACAGGGTCAAGATTTCTTCCAACCTCCAATGAGAGACATTCTGAAATACAGCCCGTTTCACTTCTCCTGGCGGCTTGCAGGTATACTCTGGGGTAATCAACATGAATATAGTAGACACGTAGTGGATACCACAAGAGACATTCTGGTAGGCACATATAAAATACAGGAATATCTGTAATCTGTAAAGGGAAGAAAAGCTAGTTATTCTGTCTGCCTAAGGGCTGAAAGCCAGGGCTGGGGTGGTGGCTCAGTGGTAGAGCGCTCGCCTAGCATGCATGAGGCACTGGTTTCGATCCTCAGCACCACGTAAAAATAAAGATGTTGTGTCCACCTAAAGAAAACTAAAAAATAAATATATTTTTTTTAAAAAAAGAATACAAGAAAATACGAAGGATCTCCAACAGGTTGACCTTAAGATATACAGATGGGCAAATATAGAAATAATTGTAGGTATGTTTGTATGTATGGGTCAGTAAATATATTTCCTAGATCTGTCTACAGAGAAAGCAGAGAAGCAATGACAAGCCAACAGAAACAAAATATCATTCTTCAAAGAAAGGAGCCATAAAAAAAAGGATGATCTAAGACCAAGACAGGGGACAAGCCCAGAGTATCTTACACTATCAGAAAATAATGAAATAAATACTCAAAAAACAAAAGGATGAGGACATGTGGAAGAGACAAAGGAACCAACCTGAAGAAAACTCTCAAGGGCCAACCAAAGCTGAAACAATCTGAGCAACAAAAGAAACAGGGTAGTATATACCAAAGTAAAAAATAAGTATGTATGAATCCATATTGTGATAGCTAATTTTATTTGTCATCAAGGTTAAGGGAGGCCCTTAACATTACTGATAGATGTCTCTCTCTATAAGGGCGTTACCAGAAGAATTAGTATTTCAGTCAGTGGAGTGAATATGAAGGTGGACTTAATCCCATCACTTGAGGACCTGAATAGACCAAACAAGCAAGACAAAAAAAGGGCAAATTCACTCTCCCTGGGTCATTCATCTACTCCTGCCCGGAGATAGCAGCACTCCTAGTTCTTGGGTTTTTTAACCCAAACCCAGATTTATATCATCAGCCCACATGTTTTCAGAACTTTGATCTGGAATTGATTTACAGCATTGGTTTTCCAAGCTTGCCATTGTTCCCCAGTTTGCCCACAGCCTAGGAGTTTTGGCCTCCATAACCATGTGAACCAATTTCTATAATAAACCCCAGAGATAGTTATATAAATAGATAGGTAGGTATGTTGGTAGGTTGGTAGGTAAGTAGGTAGGTAGATAGATAAACAGGTAGGCAAGCCAGCAGGCAGACAGGCAGATGGATGGATGGATAGATGGATGGATGGACAGATGGATAGACAGATAGATGATAGACAGACAATAGATAGACTATCTCCATATCCATAGATGCTACACATGAATTCATTCAACTGTGGGTTGATAATATTCAGGGGAAAAAACCTGCATCTGTATCCAACATATACATATTTTTTGTCATTATTCCTAAACAATGCATCATTCCTAAATAACAACTATTTGCTTAGTATTAAGTATAATAAGTATAGAAGATTTAAAGAGTATAGGAGGCTATACGTAGATTATATGTAAAGTCTACACTATTTTATTTAAGGGACTTAAGTATCCACAGATTTTGTATCCTCAGCAATTCCTGGAACCAACCCCCATGAAAACTGAGCAACAATATACATAAATAGAGCTACCTATCTATCTATCCATCTATCTATATCTATTATCTGTATATAGATATCCCATTGGCTTTGTTTCTCTGGATAACCCTGACAAATATACCACAGTAGCATAAAGAAATGATTAAAGAGATAAATAAAATGGGAAAAGAGACCAATCTTTCTTATAGTAGAATTCCAATTATTATCTGTAGATATTTCTCCTCTCTGGGAAGTATTCCCTGAGGGTGTGCTAGACATAGTGATTCATTTCCAAAGAATAGAGTAGGAAAAAGAAGGAAACGGTGGCTTTACATGGAAAACATGATCTTCACTAAGTGATTATAGTTAACATCCCAGTGACATTATGGGGATAGAACGGTCCCTGGCTCCCCAAAGACTATGTGCTTTTCTTTCCAAAAACTGTAAACCTAGTTTAATCATGAGAAAACAACCCCATATTGAAGGTCATTCTATTGGTTCCCTGGCCAATATGCCTAAAGACTGTCAAGATCATTTAAAAAAAAAATACAAAGAAACTTCCAAAGACCCAAGAGATGAAGATAAAATGACAACTAAATGCAACACACATGCAGTGGTACTCTGGACTAGATTCTGGAACAGGAAGAGAACATTCATGAAAAAACTAGTGAAATTCAGATAAAATTTGTATGCCATTAATAGTAAACTGTTAAATATGTTTGACAAATTGCCAACTATGTAAAGATGCTAATAATGAGAGAAACTTGGTGAGGGGCATACAAGAACTCTCCATAGTATCTCTGCAACATTTCTGTACGTCTAAAATTATCTTAAATAAAAGGTTGATTTTAAAAATTTTTTAAATCAATGTAAAGTCTCCAAATTTACAGACTCCATCCAATAATGACATATTTTCTGAAATAAAAATTATCTCACAAGGACAACTGTGACCACAGGACAGAAGGGTAGAATATATAAAATTGGAATTGTCCTACAAAACTCAAATCCCTGGAATTGAGTCAGACAAGTCCTATGAGCAGACAACTGAATTATTAGATTGAAAACCGTGCTGGGTATGTAGCTCAGTGGTAAACAGCTTGCCTTGCATGAAGAGGCCTTTGGTTCATTTCCTAGACAACAGAACCATTTCAGATAATGATCACTATTATCTTAAAACCACTGTAACAGGAAGTAGAAAATACTTCCTGTCAGATCAGACTGAAGCAAAACTGCACAGTTAACACATGTGGTCTGTATCACCCTTCCTATGCGGCAAACCTGCCCACTCCACCAGATCTCAATGCTCCCTCTCAATGGAAGGTTCTTTTGAGCATCCTTCAGCCCAACAGTTGCCAATCTATTTTTTTTTTTTATCTGAGGAAGCTTTATATTTTTAGAAATTTTGAGGACACTAAGGGGCATATCTTAACACAGGTCATATCTACCAATATTTACGAATTAGAGGGCTGGGGATGTGGCTCAGTGGGTACAGCACTTGCTTAGCCTGTGTGAGACCCTAGGTTCCATTCCCAGCACCACAAAAAGACGGGTGTGTATTAGAAACAAAACACGAGAAATTTTAAAATATTTATTAATCCATTTAAATGTAATAATAATAAACTCTTTGCATGTAACATTAACTAACATATAGCTATAGTTGTCAAAACAAAATGAAACTCCCTAGATTAAAATAGAAGAAATTGGTTTCTCTATCTGCACCTACATTCAATATGATGTGTTACTGAATGTCAACTGACTTATGGAAAACTACTGTACATTCACAGAAGAATGAGAACAAAGAAGGGAGCTCATGTCTTGGTATCACTGGGAAAAGACTATGACCTCAGAGACCTGCTGATCTAGCCTGTTCTTTTTTTTTTTTTTTTTAAGGGAGAGAGAGAGAATTTTTTAATATTTATTTTTCAGTTTTTGGTGGACACAACATATTTATTTTATTTTATGTGGTGCTGAGGATCGAACCCAGCGCCCGGCGCATGCCAGGCGAGCACGATACCACTTGAGCCACATGCCCAGCCCTCTAGCCTGTTCTGTGCTCCTTTCTCTCCACTTTTTTCCCTTCACACACATCACCTACTTTCAGCACCTCTTTATCTTTCACCACCTGCTTCTCTCAGTCCTATCTTTCCTTTACGCTCCTCACTTTTCCTTTCTCATTTGCTCATTTCCTCTCCCTGTGTTTCCTTCTCTTCTAGAACCACAATGTGTAACTGGAGTTGACTTTTTAAAAAATATCATGTGAATGCTTCCTATTTCTCTACCAAACCAAAAAGCAAAAGAATCCCATAAAAGGTTGACGTGAAATTCCATCAGGGTAGAAACTGCAGTCAGTCACAAAGCAGTCATCCACACAGCTCTGCTTCCACCAGGAAGATTCTAGATGGGCCTGTCATCTCCCACTCCTCACCAGTTCACACATTCTACTAATGCTTTACGTTGTTGTTTTAAAGTTTAAGCACTTTCACAGTTGTTATCTCATTTAATCATAAACATATTTTAATGTTTGTAGGCCAGCCAAAATATACTCACCAATCTTTGCTTAATCAGTCTTATAAGTAAAATGGAAAGCTAATCTAACTTAACAGAACTTCAATAGTTTTTTTTTTCTTTTTGTAAATAGAGCACCTGAGTGTCACTACTTTGCTACAAGATATCAGAACCATCTGCCCTTGAAGTTAGTGAAACTTGAATTCCCTAAAAGTTACCAGTAGTCAGTACCAATGTTCCCAAATGTAATTTGTAAGTTAATTTTTAATGCTGTTGTGACTGCAAAACTTTGGGAACTTAAGTGCCCATTCACAGGAAACTGGTTAAAGAAATTGTGGTAAAAGCATGTATACAGCCTGGAAGATGCCAGAGTGGCATGGAGTCTTCATTGCTAGGATCTAAAACATATTGAGAGCCCTGATGCCAATCATCACTGAAGGTGGTAGACCAGCATCTATCTGCTACTCATCATGGCAAGAAAGGCCTCGGGCATCAGACCCACTTAAAACAAAATCCTATTTAGGCCTAAGAGATATTCTATAATCACTCTCACTTGGATATACCTGAAACTGCAGCATAAATCATGTATGATGCATATAATTCCTTAATGCCCCCTCTCCAAATTTCAATTCAGCAAATAATACAACTCAGTACCTGCAAATGGCAGGCATGTATTGCTTGACCCGAAGCATTTGGCTTTGTACTTAACTAGTCTCATCCCCTGGAGAGGCTCCACGCTGAGAAGCTCACAGTCTGCTTTCCTCTCCTAAAGGGGATTAAGACAGTGCCTCCTGCTCTTAGAAACACCTACTAAGACATGAGAGGCAAGTAGTAGGGCTCTCCATTTGGCACTTTCACCTAGGTTTCCCTAAGAGAAGACTAAATGCTCACACACAATAACCTCCCTACTTATCAACAATAAAGATATGGTACTCTACAAATTTGTACAATTTTATGCATTTATGTATCCATTAAAATAAATTTAAATTAAAAACAATAGAAAGACCAATTAGAGCAAATAGAGAAAAATTGGATACCGCTAATTTCACAGTCTGCTGTAAGCATTGGCTTGTTATCCTTTCCCTCCTATAAGCCACTTTTCCGAGGTCAATTCTGCCCGCCATTATGGGGACACAGGGAACAATAACAGACATAACCTATTGGGAACTAAGGGAATAAGACTTTTCCATACATTATTGCAGCCAACTAAGAACTGTCTCCTCAAATCCATTTTACCCCTTCTTCTACCACCACTGAGCCATGCCTGACTTTGTGGGTGAGGACAATGGGAGCACTGTCCATAGAGGGAGCCCCAAGATGTGGATAGCAGAGCTGCCCCCTGCGTGAATCCCTGAGTGATCCAGTGGAACAGATCCAACCCTGGACAGTAACTGAGGAGAAACAAATTTTCAATTGAAGGATCTCTTTGATACAGCAACCTTAGCCAAACACAAACTAATATGATCAACTTAGTAAATCCCTGGAATACATAGGGAAAGTAAGGTATTATCAGTACCACCTACCTCATAGAGTTACCATGAGAATGACAGGCTGCATGTGGAATCCTCACAATGAACATTTCTACTATTATTTGGAATCATTTCAGGTACTATTGTTATCCTCATTTTATGGATGAGGAAGGGGTCAACAAAATGCTCAAGACCATATAGTTAATGTATGGTAGGTTACAGGCAGGACAGGAACTCAGACATTCAACCTCAGAGCTGATGTCTTCATCTCCATACTCTTCCCAGGATAGCACTGTGGTTGAGACTATGGGCTGTGAAGGACAATGGACTAGCCTCCAACTCTGCTCTGCAATTATTAGATGACTGAGGCAGAAGCCCTAGTTTTCCCATCTCTAAAACTAGGGTGTGCCAAACTCATAGGGCTGTAGTGAGGATTAAAGAAGAAGCCTTCAATAAGGTAACTATCAAGAGGGAGCAGGGAAGAACTGGGGCCTCCTCCTTCTGCCCCCATGCTTCCTTTGTGCAGAATTCTAGGCTACCTTCTACCCTGAAGAACAGCCCACACATCTTTTCACAAAGCCTGAGAGGAAAGGAAATCAGGAATTAGATGATTCCAGCTTTACAGACAGGAAATGGAGAAACAAAGTGTTCCCAAAATCACATTCGAAGTGTCAGGCCAGGCTTTGGAGTCAACCCCAAACCTTTAGCCATCAAGTTATGGGGCCCTTCACCAGCTGCCTCTCCTCTCAAAACATTCTGGGTCAAAGAGGAGCATTTTCCTTTAAGTGAATGCATACATACATTCATACAAATATTTAATTTTAAAAAATCAACTTAACAAATGAAAAGAGAACAGGAGAGAGTTAAAACTGAAGTTCCAACACACGGTATCTGCAGTATGTGATCACCACCAGCCTGTCTGACAATCAGTAAAATAAGGATCCCAACATTTCTTGTGCAGAGTCCCTATAGGCATCAAATGAAGAAGCGTCTGTAAAAGTATCCTGCACGTTGCACCTGGCACAGGTTAGGTTTCTACAAATGGCAACGAATAACGGATGTTCCTGGGAAATACCTACCTGCCAGGCACAGAGGGGACCCTAATCTACCCAGTAGAATGGGAAAGGCAGTCACAGGAGAAAATGGAGGAGCCGGCTGGGCCAGTTAGAGACGTGTGCGTCCTGGAACAAGCACTACTTCTGTGACCCCCCCCCCCCCCCGCTGAGACCTGTCCCACCTGTTCCACAGCAGGCAAGCAGGCACACCTGGCGGGCCCCTCACCCACCAGGCCCAGGGGAGCCCCAAAGCTTCTTTGTTCTCTACAGGAAGGTAAGGCCGCCAGAGACCCAGGGGACAAGCCCTGCTCTGGGCCAGGCTTAGGGTCACTGGTCTTGGGACTTCCCCGCGGGAAAGGGGAGTGGAGAAGTTTTAGGTACGTGAGCAGAGAACGCAGCTGCAAAGGAAAGAAACCGACCCCACCGGCGCCTCCACCCACGTGGCTCCAGCTCCCCCAGCCCCTCCTCCCTACCTGCCGAAGTGCCCCATATGGTCAAAAATCAGCTCCAAGTTGAGGACCCCCATGTTGCAACCTTTCCCGGACTCGCGTGGGGCCAGATTCTGGTCCTCACTGCGTTGCTCAAACGCCAGGTCCCTCTGAGCACCTCTGGCTTCTCCCCTCCGCCCCCGCCTCCTGAGCAGCGCCCTGGGTCCACCGAGCCTGTGGTCACCCTCTTGCCCTCGACCCAGCTCCTCCTCTTCCCACGCCCTCCCCACTGCCGCGTGCGATCCTTGGTACTCAGTATCCACGTGGCCTCTACGCTCCAGGGAGGCTCGGGAGCCTAGCAAAAGGTCACCCGACCTGTCGCCCAGGCTGGGAATGCAGAGACCCTGGGTGGGTCTTAGAACTGCAAGAACATAACTGTTCTCAGCAGGACACACCTTACAACTTTGGCTCTCAAACTTTCGTGCTTAATCCAGTAAATCCAAAGTTTTCAATTCGGTGAGTTTTTCAGCGAAATTAACAAAGGTGCATTAAAATAGGTTGAAAATAATAATCTAGAATTTATTATATTAATTGTGTAATTTATAATCAATAATATTAATTTCATTAATATTAATCACTAATCCTTAACCTATTTTTTCAAAAGAATAGAAATCTAAAAATATAAATATTTGTTTCAAAGTTACCATAAAGACCCGGTGTTGAGATCTGATGTGGTAGAAGAGGGATGGCCACTGACAAAGTTCCTTCTGAAAGAGTCCTATAGAGATTGTCGTGGACTCTGTTCTTCCTGGGGCCAGAGTGTCTGCTACAGTTATCAAGTCTAAGACCTTCCTCGGGAGAGCCCAATCAGAGCCTGCCTGGGGAAATTCTAGAGTAAAGTGTTTTAGTATACTCTACTCCCCCTAGGATCCTCCTGTCCCATCCCCTCTATCATGCCCCTGCCTCCATGCTGAAGCAATTGCCACACACACACACACACACACACACACACCTAGCACTGTGTCCTACCCACTTGAACGCTTCCAGCTCCAAATAACCTTCTTTTTCTCTCTCAAAGCCCTACTTCCCAAGACCAGAGAATCTGGATAGAATTTATGCTAGTATTAATTACCCATAGAAAAATACCTAGATACCTCTCCACTGACTTCAAATGATAATGTCCCCAGCATTTTGTATCCAGGGCCTTCTTCTCTTCTTCCCCTATATGCACTGTCTTAACTGAACATGTTCATTCTCCTGGACTAGAAACCAGAAAATATCAGCAAAAATACTTGATAAAGCTAAGCCCTGTGTAGGAAGAGAGAGCTGTTCCCTGCTCAGAGAGGGGAGGGCAAAGACAGATGAGCCTGGTTTCAGAAGTCATTCAATGGAGAGACTTGATTGGGATTCAATAAGGATCATGATCTAAGAGTTTAGGACTCTTAGGACTGTTTAGGACATAGCAAAGGGTGGATTTTGAGGAAGGGGTTTACAAGGGTCCCAGGGAGTAAACTGGTTTCACATTTTCCATTGAAAAGTTGAGCCGTTTGATGTTCATTGAAATTACTTGGGGATGTTCCTGAAATGAACAGCAAGGAATTTATAACCTCCTTCTTCATGGGCAAGAATTCCCTGAAATAATAAAGTCATATTAATGAAGACCTTGGAATAGGAAAATGATGTCAAGGTAGACAGTCAACCAAGTGAAGGTAGATGATTTCTGTTCTTGCCACACACACCTATAGGTCTCTCCAGCCTGCCCGTCTCTCATTGTCTTAGACCTTTATTCCCAACTTTACTGGACATCATTTGTTCATGCCTCTGGTTACTAGAGTGCTTTCTCTAAAATCCTTGGCTTTCAGAGTGAAGTTTCATCTCCTCACCATGTCCTCCAAGGCCTCCTGGGGCTGGATTACTGTTTACTCTCAGGTCTCAGCTTGGGTCATGCTCCCACGCAGCCCCTTTGCCCCAGATTGCAGGACCCATCAGTCTCCATGAAGGATGGCACTCACTCATACCACCACACCTTTGCCCACATCATGATCTCAGCCTGGAAATCCCTCCCTATGGTACTTCTGGTTAAGTCCTACTAATCCTACAGGATCCTGGTCAGTTTTCATTTGATGTTTGATCCCTGATGCCAACTAATTGAAATTCCAACTGTTTTCCCCAGTGTAAAAAGTGGGCTCTGGAGTCAGAACCTCCACTTACCACCTATGGGGTATGTGATCTTATATGAGTCATTTAACTCTCCAAGTGTTCTCTTGAAGGTAATGATAGTGCCTCCTTGATGTGAGTATTGAAGGAGACCATGTCTCCCAAGTTTCATCATCCAGCTTTTAGTGACACCTTTGTGATAATTATCATACCTCTATAGGTTATGGTTTAGATATGAGATGTCCCCCCAATTTTTTGTATTAATGCAGGAATATTCAGAGGTGAAATGATTAGATTATGAGAACTATAATGGTCCATCCTAGTTTGAATAGAATAACCAGATGGTAATTGCAGGCAGGTGGGACATGGCTGAAGGAGGTGCATTGGGGGTGTGCCTTCCCTGCTGCCCTTTGTCCCCTCTTTCTGTGCTTCTTGGCCTCCATGAGATAAGTAGTGCTTCTCCACCACACCCTTCCACCTGATGTTCTCCCTCACTTGAGCCCAGAACAATAGAATCAACCAACCATGAACCTCTGAAACCATGGACCCCACATAAGCTTTTCCTCCTCAAAGTTGTTCTTGTCTAGTTTGTCTAGTATTTTGCTCTCAGCAACAAAAAGCTGACTAACATAGAAATCTTATAATTTTCTGAATATATTTTTGATGAAATAAATTTACTTCATTGTAAAACCATTTTTTAATATGCTTGCTTCATATATTCTATATGTATTAGAGCTAAGCACTGGAAATGGAAACTTTTCCAGATATGTCAAGCAGAAAGGGATATAAGCAAGGGAATTATTTATTTTCAATATTGTTGGAAGGGCTAGAGGAGAAATCAGGGCCCATAACCTGAGTAAGGTCACACCACCCAAGTTTCAACCCGGAGGCCAGGAAGCTGCAGGGGGCTGCTGTTGCCACCACTGTCTCAGACCCTCTGATAGGAGGAGCACTAAATGGGGTATGCTGCACAAGTTCAAAAAGAACCACAGCCTGCCTCACTGACCCTGTCAGCTACGATACACCAAGAGAAACAAAGTGAAGGATGAAGGGTGGGTCAGCTGAGGGGCAAAGCTCATCCTGGGTTTTGTCTCCTCCAAATGCCATCACTGCTCTTGTGATAGCCTTTCTTTTAAAAGGGCTTTATTTCCTGACCCCATCTTGCCCCCACCTGCTTTCCACCCTGCAGCTTCCAGTTCTCTGTAGCTCCCTCAAGCAACTGCAATTGGTCACTTGCTGTAGAAGCCTACAGAAGGTTTCAGGAAGTGGATTTTTGTAAGATTTGGTTCTTCATTTAATAAATATGTTAAGTTGCTTGTGTCTACTCTGTGTGAATGGGCAAAAATGAGTTTAAGATGTCATCCCATACATAATTTACATCTGTATTTATCTCTGTGTGTGTGTGTGTGTGTGTGTGTGTGTGTGTAGACAGAGAGAGAGAAGGGGGGGCACAGAGAAGAACCTGTGACGGGGGAGAGAGTGAGCACAACTTTGTCAAGCTTTAACAAACAAATGTTACCTCATTTACTTCTCATGACTAAAATCAATACTGTACTCATCGTCATATTCAGATAAGAAAAATTAGTCTCAGAGAAAATTAGTAATCTATTTCAGGTTGTCCAAGATTGAGAGTTGTAGAGCCAGGTTAAAACTCAGTCTTGTCTTACCTTAAGTCCACAACTAATAACCATGATGCTGACACTACTTATATAAAAAGTGCTGTGTTTTACAGAGATACCATTGAAATGACTGGAACCTAAATCTGGTGACTTCAAACCATTAGTTTCCCAACCTCCCTAAAAAATTCCTACAAGTTCCTGGTGTGTTTTACTTTCACACCTGCTGAGGGCTCTGCCTGGTGCAGCTTTGAAAGGACTGGTTCCTCAAAGCAGGTGGTATGGCAAGGTGGTTTTGAGTGAATGTAGTGTTTCCCTCTTATGATGAAGTCTGGAGGACCCACCTTCAAATATAAAACCTACAATTCTCAGACCCTCTGAGGTAGTGAAAGCAATAAACATCATCAAAGAAATGAGAAGGTAATCATAGCCCATGGGAAAGAACTTCAAAGAAGAAAGGAAATCTGAGGCCCAGCAAATTGTGTCAAACTCAGGTAAGTCTTTCTAAGAACTGCCCCACCAACAGTATTTTAATATGTGTGTGTGTGTGTGTGTTTGTGTGTTGTCAACTTAAAAGGCAATTTGATGCACATTGAGTATGAGAACAAAGAGTTTATTAGAGAAAATGAAGAAGGCCACCCAGGGGAGAAAACATGAATTGTAGCAGCCCAGAATAAGCACCCCCAAAATGGCATCCGAAGGGGTCTGAGTGTTTACAGGTTTTTGAAAAGAACAGTAGGAGTTTATAGCAGACTGGTTGTTACAATTGTATTGGTTGTGGGGCACACTCCTGTAATCCCAGCAGCTTAGGAGGTGGAAAGCTGGAGGATCGCGAGTTCAAAGCCAGCCTCAGCAATTTAGTAAAGTGCTAAGCAACTCAGTGAGACTCTGTCTCTAGTAAAATACAAAATAGGGCTAGGGATGTGGCTCAGTGGTCGAGTGATCCTGAGTTCAATCCCTGGTACACCCCGCCCCCCCCAAAAAAAAAAAAGATGTGGGGAAAAAATGCATTGGTTGACAAGGACAGAATGGGATGTTGGTTTTGAGTCACTTATGTAACACAGTTTATGTAAGAATTTTAGTAAGAAGGAAAAGGGTTCACTGCTGAGAGCCATAGCCAAGTAGGAATGACATGGCATTTTTGGTTAAGGTGACCCTGTTCAGGGATTAGGGTGGCTCCAGGTTTAGGGTGGATCCTGCTGGGAATAGGGCGTATCCTGCTGCCTCAGGCTCCCACTCCTTGAGTTCCCGTGGAGTTCTCGCGGGGTTCTGAGAGAATTGGTACGCAGAGCCCGGTGAAGGGAGTGTATTTTTCCCAGAACGTG